ACCTCAACTATAACTAATTATGTCTCAATGCTCTGGCTATGAATTTTAAATAACTGCTCTGGTGCGCATGCTCAGTAGATGCTGCAGATTCAAGGGTGGGGCTGAGACTTGAAGTTTAGCAAGAGGTGTAAACTTTGAAAACAGTCAAAGAGACAACATGTCAACTGGAGCTGGAGGGAAAGAGCCTTCCATTCGCCGCCATGCTAGAAGGGAAAACAGACAAAGGGGACGACTACAAACAGTCAATACTGAAGCAATTAAAGAGCAACAGGTAAGTACACAGCACTATATACAGAGGCTGCAGGATTATGATCATTTTATCTGATTAGATAAGATCAAGAGAAGAGAGAGAGCAGAAAAGAGCTAGAATGGACGGCAGACATGAATTCTTATTATCAACGATAGCAGAAAGACTGGGCCTTACTATGGATGAAGCTGAAGACTTCATGCTTGATGGAGATCAGGTGAGTAGCTCCTTCAATCAGCTGTCTTGTAATTTATTGTTGCTATTGCAGCTAAATGCTTTCGACAGCTTCTTTGCTCAAGGTGGTCGGAGTGCCCTGATATTCTTTTACAAGGAAACTAAACCTGAAGAAGGAACAGGAGGTTTGTCACTACTGATACTGTACAGTGCATGTATAATCTCTCTTAATGGACACTCTTTATAGCATGCACCTCCATTCAACCATAATAGAATATGACTATGTAATAGCACCAAATGTACCAATTACATTCCTTACTAAAAAATCTCCATAGGACACCTTTATATAACAGAGCACTGAAGTACTGTCAGGTACCAAAGTGTCCATTGTACATGCACATGTCCATACTCTCATTACAATACTGCATAGTGCAATGGAGCATTGTAATAGTAACTATCATTAGGTACAAAGGAGAAGTGTCTATGGGTTACTGATGGCACCAAAGACCCTTACTCTGGCTGCTGTATGTTTTTTGTCAGACCAAACTCATCAAAGCCGATTACAATGCTCAACATTCATCAGGTTAGCACAATATGATAGAAATATTTCTGCTACACTAAATAAAACAATATTTCTGGAACTCTTTGCCATTCAAAAAAATCATGAAAAATTATTGATTTTTGTAGATTTGATATGCAATAATGAGTTCCTTAATATATGAAACATATAGCAAATAATAATTTTAATATCATTTATAGGAGGTGTACTTTGGTATGTTAGATTCCAATGGTGAAGGATTGCTTGGTGCTATTAAAGGACTGCTAGACCTTGTCTTTATCCCAGCTCTGGAAAGAAATGAAAAATGGGGAGACCTTTCAGGAATTGAAGCGCAGCAAGTCAAACAGCAATTCCTTGGAAAATTGTCCTCTTTTGTTGGAGTTTTAGCTAACGCTCAAGCTAGTGTGGCAGATGCAGTGAAACTATCACGCATTGAAAATGAGAAACTGTTGAAATTGATGACATTGTCATCATCAGAAATCCTATCATCAATGAATAATCAGGATATTGTTGTGGCTGCTGAGAATATTGCTATGAAATGGTGTCATGAAATTGAACAGGTATACTGCAAAGAAGTACAATGTGTAGATGTATATATATATATATACCATTTATCTGGTAATGTATGCTTTAGAAAATTGTGTATGCTTGATTTAATTTTAATGTAATAAGACTGTGTCAGTACTAGACTAGTACATGTGGCACATGTAATTATAATGAGTGATCTAATTTTTGTGAATTTTTATTGTTAAAATTTCAACAAACTGCAGTGTATAGTTATAGAAAGTTTAGTGGACTAACAATTGAAGCCCATTGAGAATTTGCAATAAAACTTTAGTTTCCATTGATAGGGCCCGTAGCAGCATATACATAGCCAAAATGAAATTTTGCTAAAATTTTGATTGATTTGGAATCAAGTTGGCTAAATTTTAACACTCCAATTTTTAGTGAAATTATACAGCATTTCAATACTTACATTTCTCAGGTATTGTATTGATTGTTTTAATCAATTTTAATGTTTCAGATTCTAACAGAGTCAGAGCAAATGAGGAAGGAAGCTGATGATGTGGGCCCAAAGGCTGAGCTTGATCACTGGAAGAAACGACTAGCTCGTTTTGATTCACTCACTGCCTGCGTAAAGAGCTCAGAGTGTAAAACCATTGTTAATATATTAATAGGAGCCAAATCCAAAGTGCTGAAAGTGAGTAAATATAAACTACATTAATCTAATTGTAATTGTGTTGAAAAGCAGGTTTAAACTTCATTATACTCAATGTCATAATAATTGAAACTAGCATCATGATTATAGTTACTTATAGTGTGATAGCAAGAATGCATAGTCCACTCTTGATAGCAGTCTAATAGCTCAGAATCCTCAACCCTAAGATGTTTAGATAGCAGCTCTGCAGTGATCACCGTCATTAAAATGGGCGTGTTAATTAATAGCCCAACCACACCTTTCGTCACGTGTGTAAGCATGGCTGGTGAGAATGGTTTCACAGAATCAAAAGAGCCGGAGCTAGTGGTAATACAAGAGCCGGAGCTAGTGGTAATACAAGAGCTGCGAGTGTTGAAACGAGAGATACATCAACTTGAGGTGGTAGAGAAAGACCCAGAGGCTCCAGTGAACCATCACATGATGGAGTGACTTAGAAATATGAGAAGAATTGCTTGAATAAGTAAAGGGCTTACTTTAAAAGCAAGATATGGCCTTTAGACTGGAATCCTTACATTTCTGATACACTGATACCATTGTTAGACTTTATCACAAGTACATGTACTTGTATCTATAGTTACGAGACTAGTGTATCTGCTATGTAAGAATTGGCATCCATTTTGATATTAAAATTAACTTGTGACTACACACCGGGCCCAGTACAACATGAGAGAGTATAGGTTTAGTTTGTTACCATATATGGAGCTAATGAAATCATGTGGAAGTAGTGATAATCTTGAACTATGTAGGGCCGTTTTACACTTTCTAAATGTACTCTTACGTTACATGTACATGTACAGCTGTAGGGTGA